CACTTTGCTTAAAGTGAGACTGAGATGCTTCATAACTGACTTTTAAGCCCAGTTTTGCAACAAGAATTTCGTTTTACACTTAGTTCCATTCTTAAAATCATTTTTTAAGAAGCTTGATGAGTATGAGCCCTGATTAGCCGCGTGATCTTGCAGCAAARTCAACAACTGTTGCTTTTTAAAAGCACATTTTCTAAATTATTCTGCACCTTTTAGTCATTGCATTAAAAAGCCTTTAAAAATGAAATAAACAATTAAGATAAAACCAAAAATGAATGTATGGTTGCAGAGGATGAAGATGATCAGTGAATTATTCGATGTTATTTCACTGTTACTTTGGGGCATTTTGTAATAAAATTAGAACTAAAACATCCAAAACTTTGCATCTTTGAGTCTAATATGTTTACTAAATGCATAGACAATGTTCTTATTGTCCAGTTATACTTAGATACATGATCTTGTTACATATTTGCAGACACATCAGTTGGATTTACATCGTGACACGAATGAGGTGAATAAATAGTAACAGGCTGTACAGACCTTGCAGTGAGTTCAGAATGCAGAAGGCGTAGAGGCCAGGAGTGGTCAGGGGGCCAAATGAGAAGAAGATCAGACCCCAAGTGATGCCAAGTAGACTCATCAATGATAGCACGGTACAGATTTCCTTTTTGGCTGAATGTGAACTCCGTCCAATCTGACTCACCAATTAAAACAGAAACACAGCATGTTCTCAGATAACTTTAAACAATTGCCTTATAGAGGACAAAAAATTGTTGTTGAGTTTCACTTTACACTAACATTATTTCTTAAAAATATGTGAAACTCACAAAAAAAGAAAGAAAATGAAAAAATTATACAATGAATTGTTTTCTTAGTGAATAACTCTTGTTTTGTCCATTCAGACTAAATAAATAGCTGCAAGCGATGATTAACAATTTTACTGTCAGAAATGTGTCTAAAGCTTTGTTGGTGACATGAATGAAGGGATGTCAAATGTTGTTAAATGCTTTGGTAAGAAAAGTATGCTTAGTAAAGATTACCTGTTTGCTGGAGCGGGCAGTCACAAACCATTTTATCATTTCTCCAAACATGATTAGATTAAAAAGGAACACCAAGGCAAACACTCCCATTGTTAGTCCCGTCTTTACTCTGTTATTTGTTAGATAGCAGCTAAACAGAAAGAAAGCACAGGAAACCATTTAAAATTAATCACTTAAAATGATAAAGGTCTCTCTCTTAGTTTTTCTTACATTGCAGTGCCATTAGACACATTCACTGGGGCATGGCCGTAATTGTTTACGTCTACAATCCCCACCACTGACACAATGACTGCAGGAACACCTGAAACACAAGAACTGATTTCTTTAGTTTAATGATGCAGTTTCATTATTTCCGTGCTCAGATGATGCCACTCACCCCATCCCACCAAGCTGAGYTTGAGCAGGTATCTCCTGACGTAGATGTTGAAGACTTTGACCAACAGAAGGTAGAGATGCAAACCCTCCAAGGCCATCCAGCTGAAAGTGGCCAACAGGGAGTAGTGAAGACCAAGAGCCATGTAACGACATAACCCATCGATGGACGATGCTGCCACGGCCTCACTGGGGAGGAAGTGAAGGTTGAGGAGGATCAGAGCCACTGAGAGGCTGATGTGGATCTTCTTAGAATCATCTACTCTGAGTTTTCTGCAGACAGAAGGTGAGAGTTGCTGTAAGTGATACCGTTATGACTGTAAGAGTGAGCTTAAGGTGAATTAAGCTTTTTGCACATCTCTCATGCACAAGGTTATGAGGAAACTTTTACAAAGGTATTTCTCATTACTTGTTAACATCTTGACTGTACGAAGTGAAAAGTGACACAATAAATGAACGTTCAGACAAGTTCAAGTTGATTCATAAAAGACTATGCAATCATTTATTTACACAAATTGAACAGATCATAAGTTACCCTTGATTGTGGTTATTCCTATAACAAGCATCAGAGTTAAATGAGATAAAACCTGCGTCCGAATTTCAATTCACATCAACTCAGATTACTTATATAGAACAGTAAAACGTCAGTTTGCATGTTAAGGACCAAACAATTTTACTGACACTTTTAGCTTAGGTTTTGGCAAATTAAGAATGAGGAAAGGAGGAAAGTAAAATTAGTATGTCACTACGACTTTTACTTTTATCAAAGTGTGGGTCAACCGGAACTGCACGTCTTTTCTAAGCTCAGGTTCCACATGACACGTCACTCTGAACACATCAGCTTTACCTGATGATGACTTCTTAAGGCACCCTCGGGGTAGGAGCTGGCTCGCCTCCGATCAATCAGGGAACTGATGTCGGCTCGCTTATCGGTCATTGGCGAACAGGTGTTTTCCAGGTAACTTTTGYCTGTTTCAGTCCAAGCCAGAAAAATTCAAGCTGTACATCAGGTTCCTCCTTCCAAAATAAAATCTCCCCTCGGGAGTTAAAAACACACTTAGAGGCTCAGCCTCGGGTTGAGACCACCGGCAGGCGTGCCGGGTCCCTGGCTGTAAAGTCTTCCGTAGTTAGCTCATGAGATCAGACTTTAAGCCAAACTGAGGTTTCTCCGGAGAGAATCCCAGCTGTCTTCCTAGGTTGGAACCAGGAAGAAGAGTGTGTCGCTCAAAGCCGTCTGGGTTAGTAAAGAAACGGACGAACTTTGGTTCCGCCCTCAGGCTTAGAGATGAGTCAGAGAAAGAAAGATAAAGATTTGCCAGCCGYGCCAGCCCAAGGTTAAAATTCTGTGGTTGTTCAAAAACATGAAATGATAATCTCTTTTCAGCTTTCTTCTGATAGACTAAGAGAAATCACTGCAAAATATTTATGATGATTAATTAACATTTCTGTTTTATAATCAGTTCTGAACCTTCTGTTAGTCCAGATAAATGAAAGATTTTCTCAGGAAAAATC